GTAATGTTATGCACAGACGACGAGATCGTGGTTGGAGGGAGGCTAAGCAGGAGATGGAACTCACAACACAAACGCCACGACAACAAGCGTATGTAAAAAAATGTGTTGGTCGGAAGATTACAACCGAGGCCAATTTCGAAGTCACAGCCTCCATTTCTCTTGACAAAGTCATCTTTCGCTGGAATCGGTGTGTGGGAATGTGCAACACTTGACCTAGCCATAGGATCTTGACGGTTCACTTGTTCTTTCCGCACCAAATTAGAATCTGCCCTTCAATAAGACGCAAAGCTTCACTAGCCTTTATCTCCCTTACAAAACAAATCCATATTAGGAAATCCGTGAATGCCATTGATCTGTCCCATCACATGTGGCTCAGCCATAGCTCATGTCGTAGTTTACGCGGGGGAAAGTTGACGCACTCTTTCAATGTAGAAGATCTCTTAAGGAATATCCCCTTGATAGAAACAGTTAAGTTCAGTTGCGAATACCTAATCGAAAACAACATTGACATCGATATTCCGGTCCAACGAGTAAAGGAACTACTTCTTCTTTGCACCTTCAACAAACAATTCTTGTACGATGGAAAATACTACCGTGTGTACCGAGTCCTTCGGTTATTGCAGCTCGCTGTGTTAATCGATAAATCTTCGAGCGTAGCCATCCGTCACCAGTGTGTTTGTACTTAAAGCTAGCTCATCGGCCAGACAGTCGGCAGAGCAAATTCGTCTGGCCCGACTAACTAGGGTCTTCACAAGTGTCCGCTTGTACCGCATTGGGGCGAAGCTGGTGAAGTGCAAGCTGAGATTCGCTTAACGGACCTCTTAATCAACCCACCCTACTGCGACTGATGCGAATGTCCAGATATGGTAGGCAATTATTACGTTCTATTTCATAGGTAACCCGTAACTTCGCATGTGCACCGTTAAGGTGTTCTACCAACTGTGCGATCTGTTGCTCGGACGGACAAAAAATCAAGATATTAACAACAGTGTTTATAGTATGGCAACTGGACTAGTTCTGTCAAAATGCTTCTTTCTATTATCAACATGAAGAAATCCGCGAATACAGGACCTAATGGGCTATCCATTGCTACACCGTCGATTTCGCGCTAAGGCGTGTTTCGAAAATGGAAATCAACTTTCTCCGTGCACAATAACGGTGATTCCCTCAGCAATTCAATCGGAACTGGTAAGGAACAGACAGAGATTTCAGCTAATTCACATATGTAATCAACTGTCTGATATAGTGGAACGTTGGTGAATAAAGATTCTACATACAGGGAATACATGATTTTGTTTGACAGGCTGATTTCATCCAAGTCAGCAATTAGTTGAAGTTTGTCCTTAAGACTAGAAGGAATGTGTCGTAGTCTCAGCAAAGTAAGCACTTTCCCTAGCCAACGAGCTAATTTATGCTGCTGTGCGTTCATCATTGAAAATATCGGCCTGAGTGGCACTCCACTCGGTGATCTGTACAACCCTGGAGTGGTGCCACCACTCAGCTTCAAACTATTGAATATGTCACAGTTTATCACATGATGACGAAGGAGCAATTTAAAGTGACGTACTATGCGCGTTTCGGCATTGCTTATGTCCCCCACTTTGATGAGTCGTTCGAATTTACTCGCATTGGTGAGTACAAATCCCATTTTCTGATAATATCCGGCCTTGCTCATGATCACCATGCCGGAACCTTTAGCTAGTTTAATCATCACTCAATCCTTAGCTCGTAGTTCATGTACGGCTTGAAAATGTCGAGCTGTGAGAGCGAATTTTTCACTAATTGGCAGAGTTTAGACATCGTGGGAGATATCGGTTAACTTGTTTCTGAATCAAAAAAGCTTAACATGTCTGACTGGCTGAAGATACTTAAACTGATCAAAAGAGTTCTCAAATTGGGCTTCTATGAACAAGCCGTTCAACTTGATAGAAGGGAGTATGTAATCAAGTACAAATCATAACGCTTCTAATTACAACGCGTCAAGTTGTACGCTGAATAAATTCATCACGAGCAATTGGTTCCTCCTCTTGGCTGTTCGTCAACAAACGTTTATTGTTAATGGTACTGAAGAGACAATACGAAATGCTTGGCATCTACCAGTGTTCTTCTTCCTTCTGCGCTTTTCAAATTTCGGTAGGGAACTAATTGCAATCAGTTTACCAATCGGATTGCCGATTTCTGGATTGGTATCTGAGGCAGTGATTCAGGCGTTTGGAAGCCTCGCATTCCCAACCGCAAAGCCAAAACTTTGAATATGCTACATAGACGAAACCAAAGTCATCCTCAAGCGTTTCAATTTAAGAGACGCATGAGCTAATCAACTTGTTCGACAGGATCCAATTCAACACGGAAAAGGAGAACGACGGGCAGGCACAATTCCTAGGCTTTATCATACGAAGGACAGATGCTGGATCATTGAAAATTACAGTCCAGAAAAACCAATGCATGCGGACCAAATCCCCAACTACAGCAGCAATCATCAGGCAGTCCACAAACGTAACTGCGTGCAAACCCCTTTCAAACGAGTATGAACCGAAGTTAGCACGTCACAGATGAGACAGACGGAGGAAAACCATCTCAACAGTCTGTTGAAAAAGATCCCAACACAAAAGTCTTCAATCTGTGCAAGGGTTGAAAAGAGAGCCAATTTGCCATATATAAACGGAATCTCTGAAATAACCGCCAAACTTTGATTGCCTTTTGGAGTCAAAGTTACCCACCAATCAAGGGAGAAAATTCGGAGTAAATTCTTTAAAATGAAAGACAAACTTAGCAAGAGATAAACAACTGCTGTGATTTACAAGATCTGTTGTCCGAACTGCGACAAGTACTACGTGGGGGACAGACAGGAAGAAGGCTAGGCGTTACGCTACATGAACACAGCCTGACCATTCGTCGCCACGAGCAAAACTCCCTGATTTCCGTGCAGTTAGGTGCCGAAAATAAGCAATTTCACATGTAGCACACCAAAATTCTCGGGTGAGCAAAAAAGCCGACAAGCATGTCAGTTCACTGAAGCCCGGCATCCAAAGCAGAATACGATGAATAAGCACTTGGATCTCGAAGTTGCTTACGAGGTTCTGTGAACTAGGCTCTTGAAGCCGCAATGAAGATTTTGCCGAGTCTGACATCGAAACGTCTGCAAACCAATCGTTCAACCCGAAAAGCAATACAAACTTGGTTGAGAGGTTCATTGTGTTGTATTACAAGAGGAGGATGAAATCAGGTTGCCTGGGCTCAGAGAAGAGAACGATTAGAGTTCTTAACCAAAAAACCTGACAGCTAATGAAGTTTTAACACTGAGCTCCAAAGAGGCTGTTTTATGGGCTAAGGACTCAACCCCAAACTGGAGGACCAGAAGACTGAGTTTACCTGGTCTTTACCATAGATCAATCGAAATGTGTAAAAAGATCCACCCAACTTTGTTCACGCGATCATCGAGGCACACGAACCATCGCAGCATGTTAAGACCTAGTCTGTACGGGATGGGAAAGAGCCGACTTCAATGGCGTCTGTGTTGTGAGTTTCCATGTCCCTCCTCGCCCATTTAGCTTCCCCCTATAATAACGATCCATAGCTAATGCAGATTATATTTAGCATTATAATACTTTACTGATGAGTAGTGTGAATTTGAATGTAATTTTAAATGCAGCTCGTCGCAGTCTCCTCTCGGCCAAACAGGCTCCAAATTACATAGTAAATTTCACGAAAAATCCGTCCACATAGCTTCCAAGTGCTGGGTCGTGCACAAGCGCCATGCAGAAAGCCGTGGTTCTGGGGCCGACCACCGCTCTTTGCACGGTTCGTGGAGGAGGAGCCGCGCTGTATCGTAGTTAACTGTTAGTCCTGAAGATCCGCTGCCATCACCCATGGCTTGGTGGTACAATCTGCTGGTACCTGGAAGTCACGGTGTCGGGACTCAGCAGGGGTCCTAGGAATGCGCACAATTGACGAGACCCTAAAGGTAGAAACAGACGACTGGTGTCTCTCTAGACATGCGGAAACCTGCCTGGCTGAGACGGAACCGCGGACCAACTATATCCAAACTTATATTACTGCTTTTAGTTTTGTCTAAGGTTGAATATCGAGTCTTTTTGTATTGCGGCACTCTAGTTGTGATGTCTCTCATCCACAGCTAACCTGCACTGATGATGGCGATAAAGCAAAGTCCATTTCACGTAGAGTCCTAGTTCATGTAAAGCATTTGTTATAAGAAGCTTGGCCATGAGTAGGGAACGGATCAATATCACTCAGTCCAGTGAGCAGAATCTCCAGTTTCCGACGCCAATTACACAGCCGTACGCTCTCGATCATATGTCAACCGTGATCCCACGGCATAAAGTAATTCACTATCGCCAAGAACTGAACGGGTAACTCTATCATACGCAAATTATTACGGTCCATCCGTCGCTACGATAACAGAGGAAAGAAATTATCGTACGGAGGGGTTCGGGGATGCTGTCTTATAACAGTGACAACGCACGACCAGTTTCGTCCTCAGGTAAAGACCATTTGGGCTGAGAGTGGAACTTTGGAGCCTAGTGGTTAACCGCTGAAAATTTTGAACAAGAGGCCAATGCGATCCACTTTGGATCTGGTCCCGGTCATTGGAATGACCAAGAACTGCCTCAAAGTAAAGTGAGGTCTCCATAGAGATTGAGTGTCGCAATCTAATCCCACCACAGGTACTCCAAACGAAATGTTGAACCCATCGTATGTTTATATGATCAGCGCAGGCCCACGCTTGCCACCCGATAGGAGCACACTGAGGAAACGATTGTTCACCCATACCAGAGGCCGTTCCATGGCAGAGGAGAAAATGGTCGAGACAGTGGTGATTAGCCCTCAGTAACCTACTGTGTCAATCCGAATATGCACGAGAGGTCTGCAAATGATGTTAGCAAAGACGAAAACAGACAAAGGATTTAACGATTAGAAACCATTAGCCAGTCGGTATATAACAAGTTCATCGATAATGGACCAAACATGAGCAGTAAGACATGATGGAACGGCAAAACAGATACTTGCTCCCACCTTTCTCGAGAGCTTCGTGTTCGTTCTGCTTCCAGTGAGAAGCTACGTCGTTGTCCAAGGGATCATCTGGATTTGGAGCGCTTAACAGTGCCTGAATCGACAACAGAACGGTTCGGATCTGAAGTGCCGGACTCCACTTATCTGTGAAGAATAAGAGAGTAGTGTAGAGATGTAACAATTTGTTAATAACAGCGTAGCGTAATTGCATAATACGGGAACAAAGGATGTAGACAATTTTTAGGGCTTCTTATGTTTCGAATGCATGCGACAAAGACAATACAGTGCGAGAGGAGGCGCCAAATTCAAAACACTAGAAAGCATGGACAAAACTAAAACAGCAGTGTATCGGTAACGCCACATCCCGTATAAAACAATGCCTGACAAAATGGACACAAATGTGGGAATTAGAAGACGGTGAAGAAAAGGGGATATAACAGACATAGCTCGAAAACGTACGCACGCCCCGGAAACAGCGCGCGTCCGCAAAGAGGCATGCACGAAAACAAAGCAGCATCGGTGAGAAGGGAAAGGGATATGCTTAGAACGGTAGCACATTATAACCACGTCTTTTTGCTAGTCAACCGCGAGTGGATGGCATGAGTGCTGGGACAATGTCAAGGCGCTCAAAAGTATGCGCATGTGTGGAATCGAACTCGTGACGGGCATCAGCACTGCACTGGCAAGCAATACCGACGCTTAGTTGCCGCTCAACTACCATCAGTCGCACGTTGGCTACGAATAATGTGAGGGTCGCCCGGTCCCCATGCAGGCTCGAACCCACGCCCTCGGATTACAAGTCAAGCTTGAACCTATAAATCTACGAGTTGCGCAGATATGTACATAAATATAATGTGGTTGTTCACCAGTTCAAAACGTGGTACTAGAACCATGACGATAATGGAGTGAGAAACATTTGTGCAACAGCAAAAAGAACGCGGGAGCACGAAGGCCAACCGTGAATTTTATGGATTGAGGTTTTCTGACCGTGGCTTCTAAGCCAAAAGCACGAAACGACCTTTGCATCTAAGCGAAACTCGTCTATAGCGTGTAGCCATCGGTTACATCAGTATACAAACCCACGACTTGTCGACACTAGCGGCTTGGGCTACTATCCATTAGTGACGGCGGCGGAACGTCAATAGTTACAAAGCTACGTACGACAAAGCATAACTCACCCAGACACGTGGAATTTTCAAGTAGCTACGAAATGACTCCCGATTAGTTACATCGGAAAGCCGTTACTTACAAGTAACCAAAAGTATTCGCTCTAACAGCTAGATTCTACGTTCTGTATTGCTGCTGTAATGGGAATCCGTGACACTGGGGATCAGCCCAGTATTTGCACGGTAGTGGAGTATGATTCATTCTATGGCACAGTCTAGTCGTAAGTCCCGACAGTCCGTTGCCGTCATACCCGATATAGCGGAACAGGCTTCTGACTAATGTCGCAAGCCGCTGGTATCGAGAGGCTGTGGATTCGGTTTCTAATGGAGCTGGGGTATACACACTACTGAGGAGTCCCAATGGAACGAAACCACTTGCTGGCACTATTTCAGACGTATGGAACAGTATCCGACTCGGAAACTGTTGTCATGAACCCTAAATTAATTACAACAGAAACCCCATAATCGTGAGTAAAGTTGACCAGTCACACACACACATGCGGGTCTATGCATTTGCAAACAAAACACCAATTCCGCAAATTCCTATTGAGACATACCCATTCCGCGTTCACTAATTCGCTTCACGCGCAACGTCATTGTGCATAACGTGACCAGGAGGCTCACACGCTAAGAGCTCGCCTGGTGAGATTGGTAATAATGGTAGGACGGCAGCTGCTCGCAACGAGAAACGCGGTACGCAACGCAATGCGCGAGATCCATGCTATCCGCTTTGTTGTGGGGTCAAACCAACTGTCTTGAAGTTAACAATTCTTCCGCTCCGCAACACTAGGGTATATCAAAGTGCACGCCAAATGGCACCTTGTGTTGTGGCCGCAAGGAGCAAGGCTGCTCATAGCAAGACCTCTCACGATGGACAACTAGAGCAGCTTACGGTAACAGAATTCTGTTGCCAAAACTCCAGTCTATCCACTGACTCCCAAACATTCCTTATTCTCCATCTAGTTGACCGGAAACAGGATGCCTCAGTTTGTTGTTGACAATGTTCACTTGAGGAGTCTTTCAAAACATTAGCATCTGATAGATTAACAGGTAACTAAATCTCACGTTAACTTCAAATGAAATTGAGATACCCGCGCCCAGGTTTCGGAGATCTTGCCAAGTATAACAGAAAGACTGATACAAACATTGTGGATTCTGTCCTGTCCAAATCTCCAACTTGGATATTAACCCTCAATGAAGCCACCAGGAGATGGCACTAAGTGCGGTCACGTCGACTATGGCTATATGATTGGCAGATGACCAAGATGAATGCTCGTTAGTTCCGAAAATTTAGAAATAGTTCAAGTGGTCTTGTTCGCTAGCTACTGTGTTAATGATTTTAAACCGAGTTCATTTCGAGGGGGCAATTGTCGTGGAATTTGGTTTAGTCACCTTTATCAGTCATATCCCTTAATGCGTCATTCACGGGAAGGAAAGCAGAATTTCTTTTTTGGCCCCAGTTGCATCGCGATCATGGACTTCCGTACCAGATAATTTAAAAATCATGGTTGCAAGCTTGCCTCCTCCGAACAAGCCGTGACGGTCCCATCCGAGCGGTGATCTGTGTTTGGTTCCGTATCAAATGAAAGGCAACACAGCAGTATGTCGTGGCTGACACGCGACCACGACCAGTCGTGCGCTGAGGTCACTTACATAGATGCGTACTCGTGACCTTTGGGTTATGAGACAGACACCGTATACTAATCGGTCACCGGCCGGCGAAGCGGTTCATTGAAACATCCAGCAACAACGATTGCTAATTCTACTTCACGGTGATGTTGGCTGGTCGCCGGAACCTGAATCACCGTTCATATGTCTGATTCGGATGCGATTAGCAATGGCATTGCCGATCGCATAAGCACTATCCAAATAACAGACGCCTACGTTTACTCGATTTTGGCGCAAGTGAACTCACGTGTTCCAATACGCTGCAACATTCTCACATTTGACTGTGCTATGTAGAAGTTGAGATTCGTCGGTAGCCTCGGTATACAATCAAGGGTGTGTAGCTTTGTATTCGAATTTGTAGGGTTGTAAAAGCAATTTTCCGACGGCTTGTCGTCATTCGCTTTGGTTTGGTTGACAAGGGTGTGGTCGGGTAGCGCGAGTGTGTCGTTCGATCCTACCAATCGAGCCGTCAGACCTAGGCCATGATGACATAATGCACGCAGTGTGGTCGATTTCTGCATAGTACTCAACAGGGCTGTTGAAGGCGCTCTACTCGCATGGATGTCAGTGAGGCGCCGAGTGGACGCTGTTCACCAAAACGATCAAGGCAAGTCGGGAGTATCAGAGGACTCCGTACATTCTAGCTGGTTCAAAAGAACTTCTCATCGAGTGTTGCATAGAAATCGGTAAATACTTCGTACTAGCAAGTGAAGCGGACGTTTGAGTGGGTCATTTTCGGAGACCAAACGACGTGTTGGACGCTGTCTCCGAGTGGACGTTTACCCGATTGGCAGTGGTGAGCACGTCTTCCATTCACATACCAACCGCACCCTTTGGATAAAACTCCATACGGAACAAGCGCACACGAAGAGTTAGTTGGTACTATCTATCGACTGATACACTGCCGTGGACTCCAAATGAGTACACCTTCATCGTCTATGAATGGAGCACATCCGTGCAAACACCGTACTGAACCAATATAAAAGGAAAGGTGCCACCTTAAGACAACTTACTCGAAGCATGTTTGGTCAAACACTGAGTGCGTCATTGTAAATGCAACGTGCCGTATACAGCAGTTTATTCTGTTCAGCCGATTAGGAAGGGAAATTTAAAGTGTATAGCAAGAGATAAAGGAAATTAAATAAACCTAATGATCCGAAGTAGCAACTGAAATGAGACAGAAAAGTTGCGAGATGCAAAGCATGAGATGGCTAGATCAGCAGAGAATTTCCAGTTGGTCATTGTGTAAGGCGGACGTAAGGACGAACACTGATCAGGAAAGTGGCCACACTGTATTCACTGATTCAACCCACGTGGACCGGTAAGTCGACGATGTACGAAGAGCCCGAGCAGGTTAAACACGGCATTTCTCAGACGCATGGCGTCAAAATTTTCAAACGACGTTCGGTAATCGGCAAGCAAAGGTCTATTGACACATTAACAGTGTTAAACAATGTGGTGAGTTCAACCACTCACGCTTAGACGTAGTCTTTCGAAAAAAGCGAAAAGAAGAAATTACAGTTAAGACGGGTGGTGTATTTAGACAATCAGGTCAGCTGAATGGAGTGGAGTCAGATGATGTGCACGGCCCCCGCAAGATAGGAGAGAAAACCGTGGAAAAACAGCCCCACTAGTCGCCATCAAAATCACTGGAATCCGTGCAACAATGTGTGGGAGGTGGGATAGATCTAGCACACAGCTACGGGAAGCATAGAATTAGCCATGTTGAGCGGCTATTGTAGAAATCAAGTTAACAGAAATAAAGATAAATGAGCGGAAATTTGCCTTTTAAAATATCCAGACATATTCTACCGAGTTTGTCCACATTTGGATGATATAACTTGGTTGTAAATCGAACTTTAGGAGCCGTCATCGGATAATCCTCGGGCAGAAACAATTCCAAATGAAACAGTCCTCCATCGTAAGCGCTATCAGACGGACCCTTGATAGTGACCAGGAAATATCTGGCATTGTCTTCGCTGGGGAATGCAGTTATGCCATCGCAAGGCTCGCCGAGTAGTTTCTGTGTTTCCTATGTGATGGGATTAGAAGGAGCAGAGTTACACATACTTTGATAATTCGCTGCGGTAATCCAGACATGAATCAAGATTGCAGCCACAAAAGAGTGGTCGTGTCAGAGCTGAAAGTGAGCGCAAAAGTCGAAACTGGATCTAATTCAAATAACAGGCGGAAGGGTTAAAGTCATCAACAATCTAATCAAGAAAATATAATGGTGAGAAATACACCTCTGATAATGCGCCGCAATACAAAAAAGATATATGAAATAGTGACATAAATTATGCGTGAGAACGTGACTAGATGTGGAGGAAAAGCGGGAGGCGATGGACAATTTAACTCATAACAAAAATGCCCTGGAGGTCAACTCTTCGCCATGTCAACGAAGATATCCAGCTAAGGGTGTGCAGCATCCTTCGGACCCCAGTCAGGTAGTAGGGAGAAACCAAACGACGTCAAATGCGAAGTGGGGTTTTTCATTCCTCTTGACCAACTCATCGTTTGGTCTCCTAGTTTCTTGCTCCACACACACCCTTGTCGCACAGACAACGCACATCGCGGGAGTCGGTGTGGTGGTATGCGCAACACGTGGCCCAGCCATCGGAGCCTGCTGCGTGATATAATGGTGCTGAGCACTTCACTAGCGCTTCCTGCACCAAATACGCGACGCCGAATACGTTCATACAGCACGCGATGCTCCCACCAGACATGAGCTTAGCTGCGAAGACACCGATGACCGAACATGACTAGCCCCTTTGTCTGTCGACCTGATGGGGTAGGTTTCACAATCGCTTAAGCGATTGTGAGTGAGTGATGTTGCGTCTGCACCACAGGTGGCGGAGATTGGTAAAAGCACTTCGAGTTTTTGCTCTAGGGTTCGTAACCACATCTTCAATCCCACGGACGCTAATATAGTTGTCTAGAAACTTGAGTCCTGAACGACTTCCAGCTGAGCACCACCAAGGGTCAGCGCAGGGGTGGGTTCCTATATATCTTATAGAGGGAGTTTGCATTTGGGTGGAGTAAAGCGTAGCCCAAACGATTGACAGCCAGTGCCAATCGGTAAAGTGCTGCTTAGCATGTTTAAGAGCTATCAAGGATTAGAGCAATATCGTCCGCCTACCCAAAGTCAAGAAGTCGCTCACCAGGAAGTAGCTCCACACTTAGATCGTGTCCAGCGAACGCTGTTTCCATGACTTCGTCAATGGCAAAGTTAAAAAGGAAAGGTGACAGCGGGTAACCCTGTCTCACACCGCTGGGGATATAGAAGGGAAGCGACAGCTTGCCATAAATCCGCACTTCGCCCGAACTATATGCATAAAGAGCCCTGAAAATGTGTACGTATTTATCGGCACACTTATCTTCAGCAGACAGGGCCAAAGAGCACATAGATTTACTAAATCGAAGGCAAGTTCTATGTCGCGAAACATGACAAAGGTGGGTCACCGATAAACATGCTTCAACAATTGACGCAAAGTGATGTGGTCGGTGTAGCCCCGAACTCGACGAAACCCAGCTTGCTCTTCACGAGTGCCAGTCAGACTGTGGAGAACGAGACGCAAGCAACTGAATACGCCATACCTAGTGGAACAGTGATTCCTCTGCTTTATGGCTTACCTAAGATCCACAAGCAATCAAGGTTACACTGATCTTTCTATGATTTCAGCAATCCGTAAAGGAGTCTCCCTTGAAAAACTGGGACTGTAACGGTGCGGTTCCAGTCTGTCGCGAAAGTTTCCTGTCCCAAAGTTCTACTAGCAACTCGTGTAGATTATCTACAAAAGCAAGTCCTACGGATTTGGAGGGCTGGAGGAATTCCACCTGCCCTTGGGGCATCATGCAATTTCAACACTCTGATCTCACGTTCGAATACTGCGCGTAAGGGCGGATCTAAGGAAACGGCCCATGGAGAAGGTCACTCAATGCCCGAAAAAGTAAACGATAACTCAGACTGGTTTAACTGCCTTGCAAGGCGTTTGGCCCAACGCTCCAAGCGTTTTGAAAGTTTGTTGATCAGCTGTGCACTCTCGTCGCGCATTGTCTCGATAATACAAGGTCCCCTGCTGTCTTGTTCCCGTATCAAATGGAATAACTTACGATGGTTACCAACCTCAGCGGCTGTTTTCATTTCCGATGCACGATGAGACCACTAGACTTCGCGGTCTCTCTTTAGGCTAACACGCAGTTTTGCCCTCAGATTTTTGCGAGGCTCATTGCATTCGTCGGTGAGCAACCAAAAGTTCAGGTCGGCAATTTGATTTGCCATATGAAGACATCCCTGCAACGTATGGAGAAAATGCAATCAGTGACTTTCGACGGTGTTCGGTGGAAGGCTACTCAGCACGGATGCCATCGTACTTTGATACATTCATTATCCATTATACACATCAGCTAGAGGTGGAAAAAAACACCTCCGCTATTGTGCCGCAATACATGAAGGAAATACATACATACATACATATAATACAATACACAAAGGAACAGATACAACAGTTGCATGCCAGCTGAGCTACCAGCAACGTATGGGCATCGTTCCGGTAAGCTACCAGCTAGCTACTAGGCAAAAATAAATTTCTTTTTATGTTTTACCCTACGAAATGAGACCGTAGATAGAAGGGGAGGCTAAAAGGAATGCGGAGGGACAAAGAAACTCACAGCACGAATGCCACTGAGGTCGGCTCCTTGCCATGTCAGCAAGTGTATACAGCCAAACGTGTTCACCGTCTTTTGGACGCCAACCAGGGAGCCGTGAAGCTCCAACCCAAGGCTAGCTCCGAAGTGAGCGACTTCATTCCCCTGGACCAAGTCATCGCTTGGCCACCTCTCCTCTTCTTCCACCCACATCCCTGGTGAGCAAACAACGCACATCGTGGAAGTCGGTGGGCTGGCATGCGCAACACGTGGCCCAGCCATCGGAGCCTGGTGCGGGAAATAACGGTGCTGAGCGGTTCAGATCCTTTTCTGTGCCGTAAACAATGCATCAAACACGCTCGTTACTCACGTGGTGTTCCCACCATATGTGAGCCAAACTGCGAAGGCACCGATGGTCGAATGTAACTAGCCTCTTCATGTCCGCCAATCTTATGGGCCAGGTTTCGCAACCGTACAGTAAGGTCGAACGTACCGCTGCATTGTACACTCTACCCTTCAGCGCGAGAGTGATGTCGCGCCGCCGCCATAGGTGGCGAAGGTTAGCAAAAGCACTTCGAGCTTTCGCTATACGGTTCGTGATCTCGTCTTCGATCCCAAGGGGGCTGATACAACTTCCCAGGTAATTGAATTTCTGAACGACTTCTAGCTGATCCCCACCAAGGGTCAGCGCAGGAGGCGATCCCTGCCAATCTTGGAGGAGCGCTTTGCACTTCGATGGTGCAAAGCAAAGCCCGAAGCGGCTGACAGCCAGTGCTAATCTGTCCAGTGCCGCTTGGCACGTCTGGGAGCTGTCACAGATGAGGGCAATGTCATCTACATACTCAAAGTCAAGAAGTCGTTCTCCTGGGAGTAGCTCCACAACTTGCAAGTCATGTCCTGGAAATGCAAACTCCATGATTTCGTCAATGGCGATGTTAGAAAAGAAAGGTGACAGCGGGCATCCTTGTCTCACACCGCTGGAGATATTGAAGGGCGACGACAGCTTGCCGTAATCCCTCACTCTGCCCGTGCTACGCGCATATAATGCTTGGATAATATTTACATATTTCTCGGGCACACCTTTCCTGAGTAAACAATTCCAAAGGGCACATCGATCAACCGAATCGAAGGCACCTTTGATATCAAGGAACACGACTAGGGTGGGCCACCAATATGTGTGGCGGTGCTCCAACAACTGACGCAAAGTGAATATGTGGTCAATGCAGCCACGACCACGACGAAACCCGGCTTGCTCCTCACGAATCTGGCTTTCAAGAGCGCCAGTCAGTCTGTGAAGGATTATGAAGGCAAGTAATTTGGAGGCGATGAAGATCAGACTGATTCCTTTATGGTTGTCGCATTCGGAGCACGAGCCGCCTTTGAAGATGGGAACAATAACGGAGCGGCTCCAGTCGGTTGTGACAGTCTCCTGCCCCCACAGTTTCACTATTAATTCATGTAAAGCATCAACAAGAGCAGACTCCGAATTTGACGAGAGCTGGAGGAAGATCAGCTGGTCCCGCGGCTTTGTTTAACTTCAACAGTCCGATCTCACGTTCGACTTCTGAGCGAGAGGTGGATCCAAAGGGACAGCCCACGGAGCAGGGCGATCACTGGCCGGAAAAGAATCGAACAATTCTAGCCGATTTAATTGCTTTTCAAAATGCTCAGCCCAACGCTCCAAACGTTTTGACAAATTATGGATAGGCTGTCTACTCTCATCACAAATTGTTTCACTAACACCAGGTCTCCTGCAGCCCGCTTCCCGTATCAAACGGAATAACTTACGATGGTTGCCAAGGGCAGCGGCCAATTCCATCTCTGACGCACGATGAGATCACCAAGATTCGCGGTCTCTCTTCAGGCTAGCGCGGGGTTTTGCCCAGAGCCCTTTGCGAGTTTCATTGTGTTCGCTTCCAGCCGGGATATGCCGGCGAGTGTCGATAAGTTCCAGAGACCGAGAAGAGACCCATTGTCCATGTGGGCTATTAGACATACCACATCAGGATTTGCCTGCTGCTAGTAAGGTCTGGCGAACATGTGACCAGTGACCATCAATTGTCTCCAGTGAGCGCTTACTCAACTCGCATGTCAGCGTACTTTGGTAGGCATTCAGAACAGCTGGCTTTGTCAGTTGCTGGTGTCAATGCGCTCACAGCGTCGTCGTGGGCGTCCGCCAAAACGCATTTGCATGTCAGCACATACAAGTGCATGATCAGTGTCCACACATGTGCTCCAAACCGAGCGACAATTCTGGATGCAGCCTCTCCAGCGGTAACTAATAGCAATGTGATCGATCTGCGTCCAAGGCTGGTTCGAGGCTGGTGGGCGCCAAGTCACCCTCCGGCGGGTGCTGTGTCGGAAATTAGTGCTCGCAAGAAATAAGCGAGCATCTTCACACAAATGAAGTAACCGCTCACCGTTATCATTACGGGAGCCTACACCGTGCTGAC